GTATGCAGATATGTATTCATATGCTTGGGTATGTATGTGTATATATACATGTGTGTCTCTCTTTGTGTAAATATATTTTATTCTTAGTGCCAAAAACTACTTTAAAAAATTTATGAATGAATAAAAAGTGCCAAAGCCCATCATTTCCACAGCTCTTGTATCTGTACAGAGTAAAGCAGAATAAATCAAGAGAATTGCTTAATTTTGAAATAAGTAAGCCAATTATTAAACAGTTAAAATTACTTCTCCCTAGATATTCCACTGACAGTCTCTGCTCAGCTATTAATATCCTACTACAATTTGTAAAAGAAATAAGATCTAGTCACCTGCCTCAATTTATTTCCTGGGCCTTCCTCCTGAGATAGGAGAAAAAATGGATATTAGTCCACTTAATAAATCTTTCCTCATTAAGCTAAATTCAGAATGAAATTGGGGGTAACTAATATAAGCTGTCTATGCAGACCTGCTAACTCACAATTTCAGGCTAAAACATTAGTAGTACTTAGTAGTACACAGGAATTCAGCTATCTTGAATTTTAAGAGAGAAAATATTGACCTAACAACTAATATGCAGGAAAATTAATAACTCTTCATAGACTTTATCCATTTTCTTCTATTGTATTTTTCCTTCTCATGACAAGAGACTTTTTGTATAGTTGAGGTATTTTATATCTTCTAGGTATCTTACCTCTTTTCTGTGTTGCAACTATTTCTTACAAATATATTCCTGGTATACTGACCTTTTATTAATGGATAAGCTTTATTTTTATAGCAGTTTGAGGTTCACAGGAAAATCCTGCGCAAAACTCCAAAAGTTGCCGTATATCGCCTATCGCCAAACATTCAAAATATCTCTCATTATTGACATCCCCTATACCCAGACCTTGACACATAACTATCACTCAAAGTTTATATTAGTGTTCAACTTTGGTATACATTTGATGATTTTTTATTTTTTATTAAACTTATTGGGATGACACTGGTTAATACTATTATATAGGTTTTAAGTGTACAATTCTATGATATATGATCTGTATATTGCATTGTGTGTCCACCACCAAAAGTCAAATCATCTATATTTGATCCCCTTTACCCTTTACTAACCCCTACCCCCATCACTCTGGTAACCACCATACTGTTGTCTGTGTTTATGAGATTTTGTTTTGTTGTTGTTCATGTTTGTTCAATTGTTGTTTTCAGTTTTATATCCTACATATGAGTGAAAACACGGTTCTTGACTTTTCTGACTTAATTTGCTTAGCACGATATTCTCAAGATTTATCCAGGTTGTCCCAAATGGTGGTATTTCATCTTTTCTCATGGCTGAATAGTATCCCATTGTATATATGTACCACAACTGTATCATTCTATGATTTTTGACAAAAGCATAATTGTATACATCTGCCATTGTAATATCATACAAAACAGTTCCATGGCCCTAAAACTCCTTTGTACTCTGCCTGTTCATCCTTCCCTACCACCAACACCTGGCAACCACTGATCTTCTTTCTAGTTTTGCCTCTTTCAGAATCTAATATAATTATGCCCTAGCTGGTTTGGCTCAGTGATAGAGCATCAACCAGAGGACTGAAGGGTCCTGGGTTTGATTCTGGGTCAAGAGAATGTACCCAGGTTGCAGGATTGATCCCCAACATCCTGCCCCAGTTGGGGTTCATGTGGAAGGCACCCAATTGATGTGTCTCTCTCACATCGATGTTTCTCTCCCCCTGCCGCTCCCCCTCCCTTCCACTCTCTAAAATTCAGTGGAAAAATATCCTTGGGTGAGGATTAACTACAACAACAACAACAACAACAACAACAACAAAGTGAAAAAAATCATGTAATTGGAATCCAACAGCATGTAGCCTTTGCAGATTGGCTTCTTTCATCTAGTAATATGCATTTAAGGTTCCTCCACATATTTTCATGCTATAATAGCTCATTTCTTTTTAGTGTTGAATAATATTCCATTGTTTAGATGTACTACAGTTTATTTATCTATTAGCCTACTGAAAGACTTCTTGGTTGATTACGAGTTTTGGCCACTATGAACAAAGCTGTCATAAATACTTGTGTGGGTTTTGTGTTGTCATAAGTTTTCAACTCCTCTAGGTAAATACCAAGGAGCATGGTTGTTGATTCATATGGTATGGTAAAATATGTTCAATTTTGTAAGAAAATGCAAAACTGTCTTAAAAATTAGCTGCACCATTTTGTATTTGTCCAAGCAATGAATGAGAGATCTTGTTTCATATCCTTGCCAGCATCTGGTGTCAGAGCTTTAGACTGTGACCATTCTACTAGGTATGGTGGTATCTCATTTTTTAAATTTACAATTTCCTAATGAGATGGAATATTGAATATCTTTTCATATGCTTATTTGCTATCTGTGTATTATCTTTGGTGAATTATCTCTTCATGTCTTTTGCACACTTTAAAATCAGATTGTTTATTTTCAAATTCATGAGTTGTAAGAGTTCTTTGTTTATTTTGGATAACAGATATTTTATTTGCAAATATTTCATCCCTGTCTGTGTCTTGTCTTCTCATTCTTTTGAGAGTCTTTAATTGAGCTGTTTTAAATTTTAATCAAGTCCAATTTATTATTTCCCATATGTTTTTTTCTAAGAGTTTTATAATTTTATTACTTATGTTTAGGTCTTCAATCTATTTTGAGGTGATTTTTGGATGATATTTAGGAATGTAGTATAACTTCATTATTTGGAATGTGAATATATAATTTTCCCAATTCCAGTTATTGAAAAGACATTATTCCTTTCCCCCTTTGAATGGTGTTGGTACCTTTATCAAAAATCACATGACCAGCCTGGCCGCATGGTTCAGTGGTTGTACATCAACCTATTGTGGATGAAAGGGGCCACATGCTGACCTGACAAGCTCAGGGGAGGCCTGCATGGCGGTCTTGCAAACTCAGAAACCTAAAGTAACCACAAAGGATGGTCTGAAATTAAACTTTAACTAAAGCAGTTATGATGGGCAGTTACGTCTTAGGCCAGTATCTTTACTGACAAGGTCAACCTTTACCTTAACTGAGCCTATCTGTCTTTTTGCATTTATGATAACATACCCTTGAAATGTCTGGGTAACTTGTAACTTCCCTTTTTCTGGAGCCCCTGGGGCACAACCTAATGTGCTGGGTGCCAAAACAGATACCACAAATTCCTTCATTATCATGTTAATTGATCCTGTACCCACCTAATTATGTGTCCATCATTTTACTTTTTATCCAATCCCAGGGGTTTCCCTGCTTTGCTTTATCCTTCCTCCTTAATCTATCACCAGTGAATTTCATGTAACCCACCTACATCCCTCCTTTGATTGCAAATGTGTAAATACAAATGTAACCCGCCATTCTCTGGAGCATTATCTCAATTTGTTGAGGTTCTGCTTCCCGGCGTATGTCTACAGTTTGGCTCAAATAAACTCACAAAAATTCTTTACAGGTTTCAATGGCTTTTTTACGTTAACATTACTAATCAGGAGATCACTGTTTGGTTCCTCGTTGGGGCACATGCCTGGGTTGCGGGCTCCATACCCAGTGTGAAGGGTGCAGGAGGCAACAGATCAATCATTGTCTTTCATCGTTGATGTTTCTATCTCTCCCTCTGCCTTACTCTCTGAAATCAATAAAAATATATTTTAAAAATCATATGATCATATATGGGAAGATTTATTTCTGGGCCCTCATTCTGTACCTTTTACTTTCTTGTCAGTACCACAGTGTTTAAATTACTGTTGCTTTGTAGTACATTTAAATTTTATATTAGAAGTTTTTACTTCTGAAAAAATCATCACAGATTTTGATGGGGATTGCACTGAATTTATAGATCACTTTGAGTAGAACTGACATCTTAAAAATATTACATCTTCCAATCCATGAATAGTGCATGATTTTTCATTATTTGACTTCTTAAGCTTTTTCTGCAACATTTTATTTATTTTGGTGTACAAGTCTTTCTCCTTCTTAGTTAAGTTTATTTGTAAGTATTTTATTCTTTCTTATACTACTGTAAATGGAATTATATGTTTTCTTTTCAGATGGTCCATTGTTAGTGTATAGAAAAGCAAAATATTTTTGTTTATTTTACATGCTGGAAATTTACTTTGAAAGAATAAAAGAATGTTACAAACTGCACAGGCCCAGCTGCCAGGCCTAGCTGCCTGTTTGATCTCAACTCCCCAGGCTTCCCCCACTAGAGATAGGAATAGAGGGAATGACGCCCTCCCTAAGGCTGTTCCAGGAGATAGCCCCAACACAAAGGGCAGGCTGAGTAAACTGGGCTTCAATCAACTGTTGAGATAAACAGGTTGTAAAAACACCAGGCAGGAATGCCCTATCCCTATCAAGACACAAACCAGACCCCTTTGGAATTTCTTTGTTCTCCTCTTACCCTCCTGCATGCAACCCCTCCCTGATGTGTGATTTTTGCATATAAATAGCTGAAAGACCCCTTGCTGGGCGCCCAACTCCTCTGCTCCTGGGTGAGTATGAGTTGAGCCCCAGCGTGCTGGAATAAAGCCTCTTGCTGTTTGCATCAAGTGACGTCTCCTGCGGTTGATTGGGGTCACCGTCGATCGGTGGGACAGAGTGAGGGTCCCTCTTCAGGGGTCTCACATTTGGGGGCTCGTCCGGGATTAGACGACCACCCCTCATCCGCGGAGCCGACCTTGGAGGTAAGGAGGGGTACCCCGAGTTGTTTGTCTTTGTCTTGTGTTTGTCAAGCGGTCTGGATTTGGGTGCAAGCTTTTGGTTTGGCAGCCGTTCGGCAACTCGTGAGAGTGGCCGAACAGTGGTCAGTAGACGTGCCTGGAGGACCACAGGTTGCAGCCCTGGGGGACGCCCCAAGGGTGGAGGAGAGCCAGGGACGCCTGGTAGTCTCCTTTAGTAAGGGCGCTGATCGGGTTCAGCTGTTGGATCAGAGATTATCAGGATCACGCCCGTCTGATTCTGTTACGTGTTTGTGGCAGACGAGGAGGGGGAAGTGGGTCCTCGTGTCTGCAACTTCTGTGTTATTTGTGTTTTTGGTGACATACGAACTGATGATGGGACAGACTGTGACAACTCCTCTTAGTTTGACCTTAGACCATTGGACTGAAGTGAAGGGAAGAGGTCGCGACCTATCAGTTGAGATCAAGAAGGGACTGTGGCGGACTTTCTGCTCCTCGGAGTGGCCCACTTTTAATATAGGGTGGCCAAAAGAAGGAATTTTTGACTTATCTGTTATCTTTGCTGTTAAGGAGATTGTTTTTCAGAAAGAGCCTGGAGCCCATCCGGATCAACAGCCTTACATCGTGGTCTGGCAAGACCTGGTGCAAAATCCACCCCCCTGGGTTCGACCTTGGGTTGCAAAACCCAAGCCCCGGCCGGACGCTCGAGTTCTGGCTGTCCAATCTCCCAGTTCTGGGGAGAAAACCAGTCACTCGGACCCCCCCAAGAAGATTTATCCAGAAATCCAGGCTGACCTCCTTCTCCTTGACTCACCTCCCCCGTATCCTCCTGCCTCAGTTTCTGTAGGGGGTCAGGAAGAGCCAGAAGCACCGCCGGCCCCTGCAGCTGCGCCCTCTGCTCCCCCTAATGGGTCTCTGCCGGGGCCTGCGCAGGGCACCAGGAGCCGCCACGGAATGACTCCCCACTCCACCGTCACCCTTCCCCTAAGGGCTTATGGGCCCCCGCCGGTGGCGACGGAGGGTGGACCGGCTCCTCTTCAGCCCCTCCAGTACTGGCCTTTTTCCTCCGCAGATTTGTATAACTGGAAAACTAATCACCCTCCCTTTTCAGAGGACCCTCAGCGCTTAACTGGGCTGGTGGAGTCTTTAATGTTCTCTCATCAGCCTGCATGGGATGATTGTCAGCAGCTACTGCAGACTCTTTTCACCACCGAAGAGAGGGAGAGGATCCTGTTAGAAGCAAGGAAGAACGTGCCGGGAGCAGATGGACGGCCCACTCAGCTCCCCAACATCATCGAGGCTGCCTTTCCTCTCTCTCAGACTGATTGGGATTTCAACACGGCAGAAGGTAGGGAGCGACTGACCGTCTATCGCCAGACTCTAGTGGTCGGCCTCAGAGGGGCAGCAAGACGCCCCACCAATTTGGCCAAGGTAAGAGAGGTTACCCAGGGGGCCACGGAACCCCCGTCGGTATTTCTTGAGTGCTTAATGGAAGCTTTCAGACGTTACACCCCGTTTGACCCTACCTCAGAGGGGCAAAGGGCTTCCGTGGCCATGGCTTTTATAGGGCAGTCAGCATTAGATATTAAGAGGAAATTGCAGAGAATAGAAGGGTTACAGGATTATACCCTACAGGATTTAGTCAAGGAGGCGGAGAAAGTGTATCATAAGAGGGAAACTGAGGAAGAGAAGGAGCAAAGAAAAGAGAAGGAGAGAGAAGAGAGAGAAAATGAGAGAGATCGTAAGCGGGAGAAAAACCTGACACGGATTTTGGCAGCTGTAGTAAATGAGAAAGGACAGGAACAAACCCAGAGTAGGGCTAAGAGATCAGGTAACCTGGGCAACCGCACCCCATTAGATAAAGATCAGTGTGCATACTGCAAGGAAAAAGGTCACTGGGCTAGAGAGTGCCCTAAACTAAAGAAGAAGAACGGATCCTCCAAGAAAGTGCTAGCCCTGGGAGAAGAGGACTAGTGGGGATGGGGCTCGGAACCCCTCCCCGAGCCTAGGGTAACATTAGAGGTGGAGGGGAAGCCAGTTGAGTTCTTAGTAGACACTGGGGCTCAGCACTCGGTCCTACTCGAACCGGCTGGACCTGTTTCCCACAAGAAATCGTGGGTCATAGGGGCCACAGGGCACCAGCAGTACTCATGGACTACCCGAAGAACAGTAGACTTAGGAACAGGATGGGTAACCCACTCGTTTTTGGTCATCCCTGAGTGTCCTGCACCCCTACTTGGGAGGGATCTCCTAACCAAAATGGGAGCCCAAATTACCTTCACCCCTGATGGCCCGGAGGTGACCCAGGGCAAGAGAATGGCTACCGCTTTGACCATACGCCTAGATGATGAACATAGACTTTTTGAAGAACAGAAAGCAGAGATAAGTCACATAAATGACTGGTTGAACAAGTATCCAGGAGCATGGGCCGAGACGGCCGGAACAGGACTAGCTACAGGAAGGCCGCCCGTAGTCATAGAGCTTAAGGCCACTTCTACCCCTGTAGCTGTACGCCAATATCCTATGACGAAGGAGTCCCGGGAGGGAATTAGGCCCCATATCCAACGCCTCCTTCAGCAAGGCATCCTAGTGAAATGTCAGTCACCGTGGAACACTCCCCTGTTACCTGTTAAGAAGCCTGGCACAGGAGACTACCGCCCGGTACAAGACTTGAGGGAAGTGAACAAGCGGGTACAGGATATCCACCCCACAGTGCCTAACCCTTACAGCTTGCTGAGTTCTCTCCCCCCGGACCATGTGTGGTATACTGTTTTGGATTTAAAGGACGCTTTCTTCTGCCTGCGACTGCATCCCTCCAGCCAGAACATTTTTGCATTCGAATGGAGGGACCCTGACTCTGGGACTACAGGACAGTTGACTTGGACTCGACTACCCCAGGGCTTCAAGAATTCCCCGACCCTCTTCGATGAGGCACTCCATCAGGACTTAGCCCACTTCCGCGCCAGCCATCCCCAGGTAACGCTCCTGCAATATGTAGACGACTTGCTGCTGGCTGGGGCTACGGAGGAGGAGTGCCGACGGGGCACGGGACTGTTGCTAGAAGAACTCACCCGCCTAGGATATCGAGCCTCCGCCAAGAAGGCCCAGATTTGCCGAAGAGAGGTAACGTACTTGGGGTATGCCTTAAAAGGGGGGCAGAGGTGGCTCACGGAGGCCAGAAAGCAGACCGTGACCCAGATACCCACTCCTCGCTCACCTCGCCAGGTGCGAGAATTTCTAGGGACAGCGGGGTTCTGCCGCTTGTGGATCCCCGGGTTCGCTACCCTGGCCGCTCCCCTCTATCCTTTAACTAGAGAGGGTGCCCCGTTTGAGTGGGGTAATGACCAACAGCAGGCCTTTGATGACATCAAGAAGGCATTACTATCAGCCCCGGCCCTGGCGTTACCAGACGTAGCCAAGCCCTTCGTCCTATATGTGGACGAGAGAAAGGGAATAGCCCGAGGGGTGCTGACCCAGCCTCTAGGACCATGGAAGAGGCCAGTAGCCTACCTCTCTAAGAAGCTGGATCCAGTTGCTAGCAGCTGGCCTGCCTGTCTGAAGTCCGTGGCAGCAGTAGCAGTGTTGGTAAAGGATGCTGATAAATTAACAATGGGGCAGAAACTAACGGTCATTGCCCCCCACTCCTTGGAGAGCATCATCAGGCAGCCCCCTGACCGGTGGCTGTCCAACGCTCATATGACACATTACCAGAGTCTCCTCCTAAATGGAGACAGGATCCTGTTCGGGCCGCCTGCCGTCCTCAACCCGGCTACCCTACTGCCAGACACGTCCACCCAGGAGAGTGTACTGCACACTTGCCAAGAGATACTGGCAGAAGAAACGGGGACCCGAGAGGACCTCCGAGACCAACCCCTGCCAGACGCTCAGCTGACCTGGTTCACTGATGGAAGCAGCTACATAATAGAAGGTAAAAGGGTGGCCGGGGCGGCGGTGGTGGACGATGAGCAAACTGTCTGGGCAAGCAGCCTGCCTGAGGGGACCTCGGCTCAGAAGGCCGAGTTAGTAGCTCTGACTCAGGCCCCGCGATTGGCCGAAGGGAAGAAGGTTAATATCTATACTGATAGCAGGTATGCCTTTGCCACCGCCCATGTCCATGGTGCTATCTACCGGCAGCGGGGGCTATTGACCTCGGCCGGGAAAGAAATCAAAAATAAAGAGGAAATTCTAAGCCTGTTAGAGGCCATTCACCTCCCAAAGAAAGTGGCAATTATTCATTGTCCTGGACATCAAAAAGGAGGGTCCAGGGTTGCCGGAGGGAACCAAAGGGCTGATAGAGAAGCCAAGCAGGCGGCACAGGGACTTAACATTCTATCCTTGACCGGGGAAACACCAAGGCCTCACCCTGAGGACGAGATATACCCCTCTATTAGAAACTTTAAATATTCAGAACCGGACCTTGAGAGGATGGATAGATTAGGATTTCACCTGGAAACCCCAGAGGGGATCCGGGAAACCTCGGAAGGAAAAAGAATCCTCCCAGAAAAACAGGCTGTAATTTTCCTCAGACACCTTCATAAGTTGACTCATCTGGGCCCAAAGCATTTAAGAACTATTGCCCAATCTTCACCGTATTATATCATGAAACTAGGAGAGCTCGCCGATACGACAGTAAAGGAATGCAGGCCCTGCCAGATGGTGAACGCCCAGCCCAGCAGGCTATCTCAAGGCAAACGGCTCCGAGGAGACCGCCCTGGGAGTTACTGGGAGGTGGACTTTACTGAGGTAAAACCAGCCAGGTATGGATACAGATACTTATTGGTATTCATAGATACATTTTCAGGCTGGGTCGAAGCATTCCCCACCAAGAAGGAGACTGCCCAGATGGTGGCCAAGAAAATACTGGAAGACATCTTTCCAAGGTTTGGGGTGCCTAAGGTAATTGGGTCGGACAACGGCCCTGCGTTTGTTGCCCAGGTAAGTCAGGGACTGACCAAAATCCTGGGGCTCAATTGGAAATTACACTGTGCCTACAGGCCCCAAAGCTCAGGGCAAGTAGAGAGGATGAATAGAACTTTAAAAGAGGCTATGACTAAATTATCCATAGAGACTGGCATAACAGACTGGACAGTCCTCCTTCCCTTTGCCTTATTCCGGGTCTGAAATACTCCTGGCCCCCTCAAGCTAACTCCTTTTGAAATTCTTTATGGGACTCACCCCCCACTCATTGCCATGCAGCACCTTCCCTCCCCAGAGTCTTACTCTTCTCAATCTCTGTACACCAGATTAAAGGCCCTTGAGACTGTGCAGAGAAAAGTGTGGAACCAGCTGGCCGAGGCTTACAAGCCAGGAGACCTACAAGTGCCTCATCAGTTCCAGGTCGGAGACTCGGTGTATATTCGGCGCCATCGTGCGGCCAGCTTGGAACCGAGGTGGAAAGGACCGTACATAGTACTGCTAACGACTCCCACTGCAGTAAAGGTCGATGGTGTCGCTGCCTGGATCCACGCCTCACATGTCAAGCCCGCGCCACCACCGGACCCCGCGTGGGAAGTGGAGAAGATGGACAACCCCCTCAAGCTCCGCATCCACGGTGTTCCTGCTCCTGTTAATGCACTTCCCACCGATGAGTAGCCCCAACCCCCATGCCCCTCACCGACTCACCTGGCAGGTCATCTCCCAGCCTGGGGATGTAATATGGAGCACCTCCAAGGAGAGCCCCCTTTGGGCCTGGTGGCCATCCTTAACCCCAGACATTTGCGCCTTAATAGCTGGACTAGACAATTGGGATATCCCCAGTATAACCTATGAGGAGGTTCCATCAGAATCTGATCGCTACTTAGCAAAGCGTTCACTTACCCAAGGCTCCACATCCCGAGGCCAGTATATTGCAGACGCCCCTGGCTGTGGTAACTCGCCTGCCCAACGCCGGATGCGGCTAACACAGTTCTATGTTTGCCCCCGAGATGGGAGATCGAGGAGCGAGGCAAAAAGATGCGGGGGGCGGGGGGGTAGAGAATTTCTACTGCAAACAATGGGCATGTGAAACTACTGGAGAGGCCGACTGGCATCCCACCTCCTCCTGGGATCTGATATCCATAAAAAGAAGCAGTGTTGGGGCGGGGTCAAACCCCCTCAATATTTCCTTCACGGGGAGGGGGAGACGGGCCCGGGCTTGGATACAAGGAAGGACATGGGGATTCCGTTTCTATATGTCAGGATGGGACAAGGGTTTTACCTTCTCTATCAGGCTTAAAGTTGAAGCCCCAACTGCCGTCCAAGTGGGGCCCAACCCAGGCCTGTCCGAACAGCGGCCGCCAACTGCCCACGTCAGGCCGCCTTCTCCCCGAGTCACGACAAACAGACCTAATGATGAGCCTCGGCTCATCCCGATAACAACCACCACCCACGCCTCGGCCCCTGGCCTAGCAAACACGCCCGAGATTCCAAGCACAGGGCAGAGGTTCCTTAACCTGATACAGGGAGCTTTCAGTGTCCTTAATGCCTCCAATCCTGACTTGACAGAGTCTTGCTGGTTATGTCTGGCATCAGGTCCTCCCTACTATGAAGGAGTCGCCTTCTCAGGAGTTTTTAACAATACTACTTCCCATGACTCCTGTAGCTGGGGGTCAAACAGTAAACTCACCCTCAGAAGTTTCTGGACAAGGCACCTGTTTGGGTACAGTTGCCACAAACCGTAAGCATCTGTGCAGCCGGACCATAGATAGCTACCCAACAATTACCAACCACTATCTGGTTCCCCCCCCCGCCCCCGGTGGGTGGTGGGCCTGCAGTACGGGGCTGGCTCCATGTGTGTCCTCTTTGGTGTTCAACACCACCACAGACTACTGTGTTCTTGTGCAGTTGGTGCCTAGAGTCATCTACCACGACGCGGGTTCCTTTGAGGCTGAGTTTGACCTGCAACCCCGAAGGCAGAAGAGAGAACCCATCTCACTCACGCTAGCAGTGCTGTTGGGACTGGGAGTGGCAGCCGGGGTAGGAACTGGAACGACCGCGCTCATTCAAACTCCCCGATACATTGAGGAATTGCGGGTAGCGGTAGATGAAGACTTAAAAGCTGTAGAACAGTCTATCACAAAATTAGAGGAGTCACTAACCTCCTTATCTGAGGTAGTATTGCAGAATAGGCGAGGCTTAGATCTCCTATTCTTAAAAGATGGTGGATAGTGTGCTGCATTAAAAGAAGAATGTTGTTTTTACGTAGATCATTCAGGAGTGATCAAACATTCCATGGCTAAACTCAGAGAAAGGTTAGAGGCACGGCAACGGGACCGGGAAGCCGACCAGGGGTGGTTTGAAAGCTGGTACCACCGATCTCCATGGCTCACCACCCTCATATCCACCCTTATGGGTCCCCTTATTATATTGCTTTTAATTCTTACTCTTGGGCACTGTATCTTAAACCGACTGGTCACCTTTATCAGAGAAAGAATAAGTGCTGTGCAGGTACAAGTGCTCAGGCAGCAATAACAGTCTCTCCGCCAGAGAGATAGTTTCGAAAAGGAATGTCTAGAGACAGAAGTTCCATGATTAGAACTTACCAAAAAGTAAATGGGGGAATGAAAGAATAAAAGAATGTTACAAACTGCACAGGCCCAGCTGCCAGGCCTAGCTGCCTGTTTGATCTCAACTCCCCAGGCTTCCCCCACTAGAGATAGGAATAGAGGGAATGACGCCCTCCCTAAGGCTGTTCCAGGAGATAGCCCCAACACAAAGGGCAGGCTGAGTAAACTGGGCTTCAATCAACTGTTGAGATAAACAGGTTGTAAAAACACCAGGCAGGAATGCCCTATCCCTATCAAGACACAAACCAGACCCCTTTGGAATTTCTTTGTTCTCCTCTTACCCTCCTGCATGCCACCCCTCCCTGATGTGTGATTTTTGCATATAAATAGCTGAAAGACCCCTTGCTGGGTGCCCAACTCCTCTGCTCCTGGGTGAGTATGAGTTGAGCCCCAGCGTGCTGGAATAAAGCCTCTTGCTGTTTGCATCAAGTGACGTCTCCTGCGGTTGATTGGGGTCACCGTCGATCGGTGGGACAGAGTGAGGGTCCCTCTTCGGGGGTCTCACAACTTAATCTGCTTATTTGTTCTAAAAGTTTTATTTTTTCTGCATGTGGAATCTTTAAGGGTTTCTGCATATCAGACATATAGTTCATGATCAGATATAATTTTTAATATTCCTTTCCAATTTGGATGCCTTTTTCCTTTATATTATAGCTAGAACTTCCAAAACTATGTTAAATAGAAGTGATTAAAGTGAATATCTTTGTCTTGTTCCTGGCCTTACAGGAAAAGCTTTCATTTCTTTACCATTTGGTATAAAGCTAGCTGTGGAAATTTCATATATGATCTTTATTATGATGAGGTCATTTCCTTCTAGTCCTGAGATGTTAGTGCATGCATTTTTTCTCTTCATTATGTTAACACATTGTATTACAACGACTGAATTCTGCATGTTGAACTATTATTGCATTCTAGAAAGGAATCCAAATTTGTCTTGGTGTATAATCCTTGCAATATACTATCAAATTCAGTTTACTGGAGTTCGGTCAGGATTTTTGTATTGACATTTATATGGTACTATTATCAGTGGAAGTGAGATGTCCTCTTCCCCATTGGGTGCTTAGCGTGGGGTCCTTATGACATATCAAGAAACATAATTTTCTGAGACTCATACAGGAGGATGAGTGATT